ATCCATCTTACCAGTCTCGTAAAAAAATAGTTAACCCTTAAAGTACAAACGCATTAGTGTTGATCGACAAAACTAACTCCCTAACAATTGCCCTTAAAAACTCAGTTGCTGTACATAATACAATATTTTGATGCGTTGGAATCACGAGTGAAGACAGACCCCAAAAGCTAAAAGAAAATGTCTCCGTATTTTCAATGTCTTAAAACGACAGTGACTATTCATCAGTCGATAAACAAAGAGTTTAGAATCAAATTAATTTGGAATAATTTGAATCAAATCTACCAGGTAATAAATATTTATATCTAAAATTACAAAAGAAAAAAAGAATTAATTTCTGTGCTTTCCTGCAAACATTTATGACACGAGAGAGCGCTGAAGATTGCTCGTCTCGTAATTTGTTCAGATTTTGGAAAGTGGGCTGGCTCTACAACTTTTCAGCACGCCCTCACACATCTCACAAATAACAATATTTAACTGCTTATTCAAAAAAGGCAAGATTTACAACACCTGCGCATCAGATCCTATAAGTACGTGGCTTATTGATTGAGTAGCCTCTAACAAGAATGTGAGAATTAACATTGGAAATCATATTTTGTCAAATCTCAAACAGAAATTACTAACGTCAGAAGCCAAATGACTGTTTTAGTAACTAGTAAGGATCATAAAAGTAAAAAGAAAATGTATCGTTCACTTATTGCTAGAGACTGATGAGCGCCTAAATCATATTGCGAAAGATTTGAAAGATGGAGGAAAAAGGTTACAAGAAAAAATAGACAATAAAATAAAAGGAAAGGATTTAATCATTTGGAAATAGGGAACATTTAATTATTTCCCTGTCTCAGTCATTTTGCCCATCTTTGCTTTCTATGGATGAGGAAAATTTTTACAAGCTGACAAAGTCAAGCTTTATCCTGCCCGAAGTACAACATCATTTTCTAATGCTATGTCCATTCAAGGCGTCGGTGTACATGGCTCTCCAAAAATTCCTCTTTATTATCTAAATTGCCATGCCTCCTTGAGAAAAATAGTGAAGTAATTACTGTTTACCTTCTCCACGGTTTGGAATTCAATTTTCCTTCTCTTACTCTTTGCCACCTAATTCTAAAAAGCCCATTTAACCCGCACACCTGGAAGGAAAAATAGATAATTTATACCTTAGCATTTATACGAAAATGAACGCTCACCAATATCACTTTCCGCATTGATAACCGTTTCGCTGTCCGCATACCACATCATGTAGTTTATGAAAAAAAGTGTTCTGCACACACCAAAAAGGAATTTGAGGTTTAATCATATTAAGAAACATTCCAAATTCCAAGTTGATTGTTAATTCGAAGAGTTGTTTTACATTTGATATTCGCATATTTTCAGATATTGTTTATTATAGAATATGTCTTCTTATTTCTACTACAAGGTTATCACTGCTCTTTTGAAATCTATTGAAATATATATGGAATGCAAGTTATAATTTTCAATTACTCGGTTAAAGGGCACTTTTAAATTCAATATCAAGATAACTTCCTATTTAGAGAATGTATACGATTTATTTACAAACTACTGTGGGTTGTAACCAAACGCAGCTGCATTTTTTGTAAAGTGTGTTAAGTTAAAAGAAAACATGAATAATCTTTGCATAAAATAATGATGCCAATGAAGAAATAATTATGCAAAAATATTTCTGTATAAAAATATGTAATGAAAATATCTATAAGTGTCTATAAGTTTGAGAAGTGTCTTTGTTCGGACGTTCAGGGATTTTTTAACAAAATAAAGACATTCTTTACATTTTTTTCCTCTTAAATTTTCTTTTCGGTTTTTGAAAACATAAAAATCGAATCATTATTATCAAAGTGATCACATTATTATTATTAAGTCACAAATTGGAGGGGAAAATGTTTTGTTCTTTAATTTTAACTTAAAATTTCAGCGATATTTTCCGAAGAAAAATCTTGCAAACAAATGAAACTTTTTTGTGGACATAAACATAAATCAGACTATTATAATATTGATAAATTAGATTATTACAAATGAAATATTTCAATACACGTCAATTATATGGGACATATAATGTGTAATTTTACTAATAATGATTATAATGTAGGATGATAAATTATTATCTAGCATTTATTGAACGCATCTTCGTTTAAGCTTAAAAAGTAGGATTATATTGAAGAATTTAAGTTGTTTTAGATTATCCTTGGTTAGGACCCTGCAATATTAAAGAAATTACCAATTTGAAGGAATCAGTTACTTCTTCTGCAACATCGTAAGGAGAAAACTAAAGAATGCAAAATGACAGAGTCAAATCAATATCCCTCTTCTCCAGACACACTATACCAAAGATTAATTTTTGTTCGAAATGAAAGGAAATTGTATTTTACCTGAATTTTTCTAATTCGTAATTTATAATAACAACAAAGATGGGGACAATAGTCCGATTGTAAATCATATAAATAGTAGAAATATGAATGAATTGTTTAGTACTATGTGGCCATCTAATCAATATGTGATAAACTTGTATTTTCAATCACAATGCTGCATTAATGCTTTTCATTACTAAAGTTTACAAAATGTTTACTTCTCAAAGGTGAGGCTGACGAGGTCCAGCCATTAAAAAAACCTTGTGCCCAAGCCATAAACTGCGGAACCAATCACGTGATTGCAATCGTTGATGTTAGTCAAGATAGACAACTCCGTGTAATTGCAAAAAACATGTGCAATGGACAACACAAATGTCAACTTGATGGCAAAAAAAGTAAAAATTGTTCCATAAGCTATTATTGCATTGATGGTAAGTTAATCTCTCTCTCTCTCTCTCTCCCCCCCCCCCCGTGTGTGTGTGGTTACAAATCCCATTTTCGCTTGCAAAGAGTCATTTTTGCATTATCATTTTGACGAGCCCACACAGAGCCCGGAAGTATGACTCAATTTAACGATAGAATAAAATAGAATTCCGTTCCCATGACCTGGTTTGTATCTGGCCGCTATTTCAGGCATTATACGCGTGTATGGGTTTCAATTGTATTATTAATCACCTTCAGATAATTTTTTAATGTCACTTTTTTTTGCACCATTTGTAATCTAAATGTTTATACAGTACTTTACTGGTCTGTAAACGTAATAAACAAACCAGCTCTATATATTCTGTACATTAAATAATGTGATATATTGAATTTCGGCGAATTATTGAACATTTACAATATGCAAAGCAAGTTAGTTAATAATTTGGTTTGCATATTGTAGATACTAAAAATACAGTACGAATATTTTTTTCATTCATTTTTCACTTTATTTATTAATCTTCTTATTTGTTTTGATTCATTTTGGAGAAAATTTCCCTGGTTGTCATACCGACTGGTTGGATTTTATTTTTCAAATTTTTATTTTATGAGATTTTATAGCCGGTCGTAAGTCGTGAAGTCTTTAAACACGCAACAAGTCATTAGTTGAAGAGTCTCTGTATTTAACAAAACAGATTGAGAGAAAATCAGTATTCACCTAATACTCAGTTGAAATCTCTTTTTTTCTTTATTTTTCTCGAATTAACAAGTAAACAGATGATATGCATTCTTCTTGGTTTTATTTTATTCCATAAAATCAGTGATGCATGCCGATGAAATAGTGATTTTATTATTCCTAATTCCTATCATCAAAATAACAATCAGTTGTGGTTGTATTATTACAAAGAAAACATACACAACTTCATAAAAGCGCACAATTATACTATATATGCGCTATGTTTTATTTTTATTCGATCGAAAGAAAAAACGTTCATAATATTTTGTATTATAAAAGAAGGCTATAAAGAAAAGAGATGACAGACGGAAGAGATTAAAGTGGCTTAAGAAAAAAGATGTTTATTCTAAGCAGAGAAAGTTCCAAATGATTTTCCTATTCAGTCAAATACTTACTCTAAGTTCGTTTGTCTTTTATTTATTTTCAGATCGCTTCGTTCAAAACTGTTCCCTCATGAATGCACCAACAAATATTGGAAACAATTTAGATTTATTTTGGTGCTACCAACATACTAGCCAAAAGAAAGGAAAACCCCGCTGCTGGGAGTTTTCCAGAGATGTCAACCATCATTGGTTTATCCTTCGAGGGTTGGTAAAAATGAAGCTTGGAGTAAGTTCACACGGAAAGCTTATAGAGAATTTCAAGATGATCAAAAGTATCAAGAGTAATGAAATATGCACATCAAGCAAATATATTTGGATCATTTATGTTGGTGAGTTGATAACTGATAGAACATGAAAAAAAAATGTTTTTTTATGGTACACCTATTCTTATATAAATGTCATAGATTAACCAATAGTTTGTAATGTCATTATTATTCTCTTATTCAAGATTCTAATGATTATTATCCGGTCCATCAACCCCGGTTGTGCAGTGCGAAACAAATTTATTCAAAACTTCTGGGTGTGATGGTTATAATGATAGTCAAATGACACATCGACTCTTATACAATGGCTATGATGTACCTAAAAAATAATTAAATTTTTAATTTGATTCTCATAGTCTAGAAATCTAGAATTATATAGAATCGATGTGTTATATAATTATTATGACGAGGCTGAGAACCCTTTTCTCATATTCACTGGCTTTAGAGATTTGATACGTTTTCCCTTGTGTTCTACTGGCAAAATGACATTCCACTTCCATTTTGTACATTTGTTTTGATTGTCAAGTATTCGCACAGTTCTAGTCTGGAAAGAAATAACGTTTGTGTTTAAAAATGTGAATTTGACACAAAAAATCGTTCAAAACCGAATAATCCCAACCCACGTCAATTCTATTTCTTTATTTTTTATTCTGCATCCACAAAGTAAAAAAAAAAACGTTTGTTTCTAGATTTTGATTTTTTTAAAGTGTTACAGTCCTTTTTCTGTTTTTTTTTTTTTTTTTTTTTTTTTCACAGACACCAAATTATCGTTAGTTTGATTTGGAGTTTGTTATTTAATTTGGTCTGCTGGATCTTCTCACCAAAACGTTGTCGACTAATTCTGGCCTTTTATCGGTTTTATTATCAGGTACAAAAAATCCAGAAACACTTGTAAATATCTATTCAGAAGACGATCCAACATTAACAGATTCTCGTCAAATCGATGATATAAACACGAACACAAGTAAAGAAGTTATCAAGTTTGAACGGAACATGACTGAAGATTCCCAAAATAATTTCTTTGCTGTTGATGACAATAAAAATCAGGATAACAAAAGCGAAAACATGAATTTCGTGAGTAAGTAAGAAACATTTGAATTTTGCAAAATTTTTCATAAAAATCTATTACTGTTTGACATATTTTAAAAATTCCAAGTTCAAGCGCCACTTATGTAGACAAACATGTTTGAAGTATGTGCGCGATATTGTCTTTATTTCGATGAATCAACTGGTCGTAATTTATACGTTACCATAACAATTACATGCAAATTTTTGTTAGTATTGGAAAAATATGAAGATATTCGTTTAGTTAACTTTATATTAAACACAGCTGACAATGTTGTCAACGTGTTAGATTTTTAGATAGTGTAGTGAGTACGAAATAATAACTCCATTCACCCACTCCCTTCAAATTCGGAGGTCCGAGGAAGAAGAAGTAAAGGTATTTGCGAGCTTATGTGAAATTTTCTTTGGACTAATGAAAACCTTGCCTTCACAAAAATTAATCAGTCAGTCGAGAAGAAGAAAAGAAAGTAGCGAGCCTACGCGAAATTCTTTTTTATATAAAATAAGGAGAAAAATTAAATTAATGAAAGAAGATTGTCTGAAGTCATGTGAGAGTTTTCGTTTTAGTTCCTTACGACCAGTACTTGCCAGTGTCAAAATTATTTTATTATTGGCCTCTAAACAGTACGCAGTACTTCAAAGAATTTTCTCTCAAGAATCAAAAAAAGCTTCAAATTATCTCTCTTCGTCTCCTTTTGAACGTACGCAAATATATATCCCTTCGGTGAGCAATGAACTCCCTTAACTTTGTCATTTAGGAATATTATTTTTGCTGTGTTTACTCTTCATGATAATACGTTAAAACTACGGACTTTAAGAATTCTGATGTTTTTTCCGGAAACGAGCTACTGACAAGCGTGTTAATTCGCGAATAAATTCCGTATCTTATTTTACTAAAATTACTCGTATGTTTCCTCATCATTATCTTCCTTCATTGATCTTTCTGTCGTGGATAAATCATCTGTTCATTTTAACCCCTAAGCCCCACGCCACTATAATAGTATCAGTTGCTCTACTGTCTTTCGTGGATTGTCGTCGTCCTATTTGTATTACATAATACATAGGATGCTTAAATTTGATCGAGCATGTGAATTCAAGAAAGTTGAATTCACTCTTTTGTCAGCTACTAAAATTCAAAAGATAGACATATCATCTTTACAGTAAAAAAAATCAAAACTGTTTGTATCCCCAAATTCAAAATCAGCTTCCTAACTGGGCCTACGAATTTGAAATAATATTTAGAAAATCTTCAAGAGAACTCAGTTTCATGATAGTGTTTTGTGATTGCACGTTTTATCTAATTAAAAAAAAGGTCAGATAATGTTTGATTTTTGCCTCCTGGTGAAAAACGGCAATTCGAGGATTCATTATCAAATAAATTACTGATATATTAAGTATAAATTATTTAATTACATTGAAATTACCATTATTTTAAAGAATTGTTTTTTTTTTTTCTGTAACGGGGCTGGATGTTGGGTATGTGTAATGTAAGTTACCCCGTTATTATATGTATTTGTACTTGACAGCGGAATCCTTTTCTATTTTTTTTATACTGAAAATGAAATGAATAAAATGTACAACAATAACAAACAACAATGAGACTTTGAGACACGTGTTGAAATTAATGACAAGAATGTGTATTTTTCTTTTCGTGATGTCAATTACAATATTGGTATTGTGCGTGTTAAAAATGTTCTCAGTGTTATTGTCTCTTATATTTCTTTAAAATTTGTGCAGGTAAGTTTTTGTTTGTTCTGAGAATTTCCTTGTTAAGGGTAGTGTTTGAGACCGTTAACTGTAGATTTTTACGAAGCGAAGAAGATACGGCTATGTTACTACTGCTACTCTCTACTCTACTCTACTGACTTCGCTTATGGTGGAAGGGTCGTTTTTATAATGATGAAGTTTCAGATTTTAAAATATCATCATATATCATCACTGGTTGCCAGGTTGTTTCAGATGATGAAATTTTATCTTTATTTCCAGGATGATGAAATATCCTTATCATCATTCATCGCTGGTGGAAAGATTTTTAGAATGATGAAATATCATCATCATCATCATCATTCTGGATCATAACACTTCTATCGTTATCAAAAGAGAGGGAACTTTTTTATAAACTCCTAATACGTATAGTTAAACTAGATGTTATAAGCTTTATTTTTTGCATAATTATTTTCTTCATTTTATTCCACTATTTCATGACAGTGTTATGTTTTTTAGTAGGTAGATAAAATAATGATCTTACGATAACTATTCTGCTATGGACAATATACGTAACACCGTGTAACTACCAACGAGCAAAAAAAAACTATATTCTTTTATTTTGAAAGGAAGTTTAATTATTTTGCAAAAAGATAAATATTTCCAAACCATTTGTTTTTACCTATTTACTTTTATTTGTAGCTCTGCTTTTGTGAAACGTAGCACTTGGACGCAGTAGATTGTTTGATGGTTTAATAAGGGGATCGGAATATATATATATATATATATATATATATATATAGAGAGAGAGAGAGAGAGAGATGAGAGAGAGAGAGATGAAAGGGGATTGGATTTTTCGTGGCCGCCAATGTTTTAAGATTGGCACCTCGCTGGAGAAAATCATCGCAGTTGTTACAGGATGGGAGATAATAAACCGTCATAGTTCCTTCGACGTTTACAGCATCTTGCTGGTAACTATCAGGTCATCCCATAAGTTCTGTCCGAATTTCGAATAACGAAAATAAGTGACCAAGTGTTACATTTAATTACAGATTCAATTAACAATGTATTTTCCCTGATTATCTATGACTTCCTTCCATCTATTAACAAGCTTACTAATTCCATTACTGTAAAATTCTTTTGTCTTTGATTCGAAGAACTCACACATGTCAGGTTTAACCTCTTCCTGTGTTACAAAAGCTGTTTCTTCCAAATGATTCTGTAAGCTACGAACCAAATGGTAGTCTGAAGGAGCAAGATCAGGAGAATAAGGTGGATGAGGAATTTTCTCCCAACCAAGTTCTTCGATCTTTTGTGATGCGATTCTTGCTGTGTGGGGTCGCGCACTGTCCTGATGAAACATCACCATTTTTCGTTTCACTAGAGCAGGTTTTTTTTCCCTCAAAGCTTGGTTCAAACGCTCTAATTGCTGACAGTATATTTGAGCATTAATTGTTGCATTAGCTGGTAAGAATTCAAAGTGGATTATTCCTTGGCGATCCCACCAGATTCTCGGCTGTGGCTGGTGTCCTTCCCCTTTACCAAGCCACTGTCTACGATGCTTAACATTTTGATAAAAGATCCATTTTTCGTCGCCAGTCACAAGTCTATCCAAAAAAGGTGAAAAGTTAGCGAGAATGGAGAGAAGAGCAGATGTCAACGCGGGATTTGAGGTTGTTTTCAGACAATTCATAAGGCACCCATTTTCCAAGTTTAGGAACTTTTCCAAGTTGTTGAAGATGACGATGAACAGTTGTATGGTTTGAACTGAGAACCACTGCCAATTCCTCAACTGATAAAGCAGGATTTTCTTCAAGGGCTGCTTCAAGAAGCATTTCATCAAACTCAACTGGACGTCCGGTTCGATCATCTTCAAGGGTGAAATTTCCACCTCTGAATTTTGCAAACCATCTTCTGCAAGTTCTTTCATTCACACATTCCTCTCCATAAACTGAGTGAATGTTTCTAGCCGCTTCGGCTGCTGAGTTTCCTTTCTTGAACTAATAAAGTATTATGTGCCTCAAATGATTCTTGGGTACTTCCATGTTAGCAAGGTTTTAATCAAACAAATTTTATTGTTCTCTGAAATAAAATTTGATCAGTTTAAATGCATCTAAACATAAAAATAATGTTCAGCTCCATTAGACATTATAAAATACTCTTTAAATTTCGTTCATTTTAACAAAAAGTTAAAATTCGGACAGAACTTATGGGATGACCTGATACATTGAATTATGTCACATATTTCATCAACGGCATTTAGCAGAATTCCACACTTTTGACGCCTGTAGAAAAATCGAAAGAGAGGATTACGAACTCTGTATATGTTATTTACACACACATAGCGACATAGTGTGCACTGTTCTGCACTTTTAAGCAGTCCCAGGGAAAAGGTGGTGGCGACTCACTGTACCAGCCTCTTTCTTTGTTTCTTCTTTATACATGTCTGTATAAGAGGTAATCATTTTCTGGTATTCACATTGCCCACTGCTAAGACAATTAAAAAGACTTGTAATTTTAATCTTCAGGCTGTTAACAAGTTTCTTATACAGACTGAAGAACAGAAATGCCCCTGAACTTATGCTTAGAAAACAGGCTTATCATCCACCTCTTTATAATTGCAAACATGGAAAACGCAATATTGGCTGTTGATCTTTTGCACAAACTTCTACTTGATCTACATAAACGTTGCCATGTGGATTCTGAGATTTAAATTAGATCACACTTCTTATAACATTCCATTGTTTTATACCTAATAGCGAGGATAATCTTTTTTAAGCTTTTCGATAAATTTTCTAGCGTTGCTAAGCCGTCTTTCCACAAGTCGTATATACATGCATATACATATACACACACACATATATAATATTCATAAGATATAATATTCATATATATATATATATATATATATATATATCTCACATCTAGAACGACTTTGACGCAATCTTCGGGTTGAAACAAATCTTGAAATTCAGAGTCGTGCTAGTGGTGTGAGTAGTATGTATATTTATTATATATATATATATATATATATATATATTTGCTCTGTTTCATTAAGACTTGACTATATGTGCGATATGTTGCAATTTTATTGCATGCATATATATATATATATATATATATATATATATAATATTCATAAGATATAATATTTAAAATTACGTTTTTTCACAGAAATAATAATTATAATAGCCACTATTGGCGGAGTATTGATTGCTGTCGCTATAACAATTGCAATCCTTTGGTGCTGTTGCCGACGGTAAGTGTAAAATTATTTTTTGACTGTGCTTTCATAACAAAATAAACTTATATGCTGTGTAGAAAAAAGTACCGGTTCCAGAAGAGGTTGATAGCAAATTTTCTAGAAATATGTCCTTGTGTCCCTTCTTCAGAAATATAGTCATGAAATCGAACATTTGTAAAATGAGCTAGTTGATGACGATTATGATACCTTCACACTCGATATTATCAATAATGTGTTTTACCATTTTTATAATATTTACGATTATTGATGGTTTCAACTGCTAATACCAGTTTTCCCCTACGCCTTTTGAGCAACCAACGTATTTAGTTATGAACTTTGTTATATGTTTATTAGATAATTTATAATTAATAATTGTTTCTCTAAAATCTTTTGAATCCTAATTCCCTTTTCCTGATTTATAAAATCAATTTCTATTATTCATGGGAATTTGTAAGAGTCATTTGAAATCAACGTTGTGGTTCTGTCACCGGCTTTTAAGCCGTCCTGATCAATGGCGATAGTTGTGATGTTTGTCTCAATCCAAATCCATTTTCTGTATCGCTGAAAGTGGAGATTTTCTTCTCGGTGGATTAGATCTGCATCGCCATACGTCATACATTACGTTATGATTTATTAAATGATGAAGACTCTCTACTCTAGTCGAAATATATCCAAGCTGCATTCTAGTCGTACAATGATCTCTCTGCGCACACACAGAGAAGGACTTATCCCAAATTACAATGAAACTGCTGTATTTAACATAAAATTTCAAAAAAATAGTTTTTTTTACCAAGTTATCTACTGGCTCAAACCACGTCCATTCCCGGGTGTAATTTTCAATTTTCTTTTGTTTGTTTTTTCGACTCCACTCAGATTTAATCGAAAATTTTTCATTTAATTTCCCCTCAGCCTTAATTCTCTAAATAAGAATAAAAATTAAGTGTAATATCGAGCCTCAACAAATGGGATATGACCCTTATAGAGGTCCCGATTATGTTTATAACAATTTCATTTCTTCTATTGACAAAGTGTAATAATGTTGCACTTTTCTCCCGTGACAATTTTATATCAATCTATTTGCCGAAATCCTCTCATTATACTGATTTATAGTTATGTTTTTCTGTCTGATATCTTTTTTGAAGGAAGACTGTTTTTTATTAGTCATCTATAGCCAACGCCTATTCCTTTCTCATAATTTGACCCAGAAAAGATTGCCTTCAAGTTTTCTTCTTGTTTCTCTTATCAACCCACTGAATTATTTCAAAAATGAATTTATTTATTTATTTATTTTTTTTTTTTTGAAGAGGTGACTTTTTCATTGCGTTAAGAAGCTGATTACTGTTTCTTTTTTTCTTTTTTTATCTATCTTTGATTTTATTCGTTTTTTATCATTTCTCCTTGTAATTTCTTAAGTTGTTTTTTCAGACACAACTTCCATCTCAATTTGGCATTTGAATTAACAAAATTCTTTCCGAAATATATGTTAATTTCATCTTTAGACAATCAAGTCAAAATTATTATAAAAATAGAATAAAAATCTTTTCTTTCTTTTTTTTTGTACGAATAATAATAATAAAAATAATAATGATTATTATTATTACTTGGTAGGTGCAATAATGTGACCATCAGCAATCCCAGGAAAAATTCTTCTTCCAGGAAAAATTCTTTCTCCGGGAAAATTTCTCATAAAGTGAATAAGGTTGAAACAGAAGAGCCGAATTGTCAACTACGAAAGGACTTTGTTCCAACTGAAGCAACAAGAGATACATTCGATAGTGTCGGATTTTGGACAGATGATGAGGATTACGTCCCTGATGACGACCGCCATTCCAAAATCAAACCACACATTTACGCTATGGGCAATTGTATTTATGAGCAACAATCACCTACGAATGAAATCTACATGAATTCTGTGATCCCCCCACCATCCTCTGTTGAAAAAGAAAAGGAGATGTATGTCAATATGCAAAGAAATCAAACAAACAAGCACTTTAACATTTTCTTGTAGAATTTAAATAGGCCTAAAAGGACGGCCATTCGATATATACACATAACTTATATATATATATATATATATATATATATATATATATATATAGGTTTCGTTAGCTGAGCGCAAATAACGCAATTTGCCAGTTTTTCAAACTCACAAGCAATGTCTCAGCAGAACAGGATGTTCGTTCATTCTTGTAATAATTTGATACTCGGGTAGATAAATTACGGCTTGAACTATCAAAAATAAAAATATCCTGAGTAGTTTTAATTCACCATTTTTAAAGAATAATAGCTTTGTTTCAAATTTATAATCGTCAGAGTCGACCGTCAGAGTAGAAGCTTTTGATTGAAGGGCACCACGTGCTTTCTGATCCTTACTACCCTATCAAATCTTTTTTTTTTTTTTTACACAAAAGTTACAAATTAAACTAAATCTTTATCCTAATCAGTTTTGATTAGGATGAAAAATTTTCGCGTATTTTGATGGGGCCTTTTTTTTTTTTTTTTTTTTTTTTATTTATTTTTTCTTTTTTTGTTCAAATCCGCGAATTTCTTTTGAGTATTAAATTATGATTTTTAATTATCAATTACTTCGTTCATTTCCGTTTTAAAATTAATTAAAGATGAACTATAATATATTTTATAAATAAATTTTCTTGGAATGTTTTGTATTAAACTAAAAAGTTGAGTTGTGCTTCTTGTTTGTTGCTTCAGGACATTTTTTTGTATGTTACGGCATATCACATGAACCTTGTATGTATGACCTAATTTTTTGGAGTTTGGTTTTTTGTTAGTTCCAGGAAATAAACAAAATATTTTTATCCCTTACTGAATTGTTTTGTTGTCAAAATATGAACGTAGCTTCTACATTCACTGCAACAAATTTTAATTTAACTAGAATTATTAATTTTTATTTAGTCTCGATAACAGACAAAATATTACAGAAACAAAAATCCTTTAAATTAAAAAAAATTCATATGTATTAAAAAATTTGTTTTATTTAAAAATATTTCTTTACTAAACAAATTAAAATATTTTTACTCAATTTTTTCCCAGTGATTTTTGTTCTAACTCGGAAACTAACTCAAACATTTGATCAAACCCAGAAGCCTAAGTTTCTAGGGGTTAAATAGTTGTTCAGACGGTCCCCTTCAATTTTGGCTGGCAACTAATCTAGAATGAAAATTGATCATTCTTCTTACTAGATTGATGTCCAGAGATTATAAAAATGTCTAGATTATAAAAATTATTTTTAATAAAAATGGCAATATTAAAATTGTATGAGCAAAAAATAAATATATATGTTAATATTGAATTGTATTGAAAAACTAAGAAAATTAGAAAATGTTACTAACTCGTTTTTTTTTTTAAGAAACCGCCAAAAGCCAAACAGTTTATAGAAAAGCTATAAAAAATTTTATTTTTATTATTTTAAAAATGGTATAATCATTTAAAAGAGAAATCAATGTTTCCAAAGGCCAGACGGTTTGTATAAAAAATAAAAATTGTAACATTTTATGGCCCATTTGACTCAAGCGGTTGACCACCAAAATTGTTTGTTGAATTATCACGGATTCGTTTTCGAATTTTGGGAGAAAGGTTTCATATTGGTCAATGAAAACTTGAAGTGAGCTGGTATGACGGTCCTTATTTCAATAAAAATAAGGATTTCCAAAAAAGGAGCGGATAAACAGCAGAGAACGAAAAAACCCGTTGGGAAAGATAACAACTTGTGAAAACATGAAAACCCCTTCGTGCTGCTGAGACGTCGTATTATTGGTTAATGAGGTTAAGAACGAAGGTGGGCGCGTTTTGTATTTTCTGCCATCTGCAGTTTTTTTCTTTCTCTTTCTCCTTTTTTCCCATTTTTAAAGGCTGTTGATGTCCTGTTTGTCTTTGAATTCGCGTCTTTTTAAAAAAAATTCTAACACTTTTTTCCTTGTATTTCATGGTAATCCCCTTTCTGTAACCTCAGAAAAAATTTTGTGCAACCTTGTATCTGTACCTTTTCTTTTGTAATATTGTAAAAAATTTGAGGACGCCTAAATCTGAACATTCATCAAAAGGACCCAGAAAAGCAGAACCTATTCTCACCCCATTCAAACTTCAACTTTCAACCTTTGAACATACAACATTTCGAATTGTGATCTTTCCGAAGTATGTAAATTTCTGTTGTTGCTAAGAAATGTATGTATATGAATTCTTACAAGTTGTTAAAATCCGTTTCCTTTACATGAACTGAGCTGCAGTTTTCGAAAAGAAAACTGACTAGTATTTTAAAAAGAATGTAACATGTCTTGATAATTTGAAGCACACAAGGGGAATTTTGTGCAAGGTCTATATTGTAGTTTGTACATTTTGTATATTGTGGAAATTATTTTTGTCATTATAATAAATGCTTTCTTCTCTGCAAATTTCACACTTGTCTTTTTTTGCGCCATTAAAAACAGTCGGGATAAGAGATTTGACATTCTCTCTTGTAGTGGAAATGGGAATGAAGATGAAAAGAAAACACGCGCGTTTATATTTCCTCCTAGAAGTAAAGTAAATGGCGAACTTGAATTAAGTCCAACTGAAGATAAAGAAAACAAACAAGCAAGATGTCAACAAATATATGTATTAACAACAAATTACAAAGCACATAGATAACGTGTGTGTGTGTGTGAACATTTGTGTCTGTTCTTTGGTGAATGTTCGTATTTTGGTGAATGTTCGTACGTACGTGTATGTTTATAATGTTCATATCGTCTTCCCAGAAGTGGGAAACGCTGTCTTTTGCGAGAGCTCACATTGTAGCGGTGTTCGCTGAAATGAAGAAATGAAAAAGAGGATTTACCTCACCTCCACGCGAGGTGGGATGCAGCACGAGGCCTGAAGGAAAAAGAGAACGAGGCAAGGAGTCGCCCAGTATTTATAGTATGGGGAGAATGTTTGGGAATTAAGGAGGAGGTAACTCCGACACTCTTCTACTTTTTTCCCCAGTATTTATATTTTAGAATTCATGATGTACAAGTCTACCACTATAATACCAGTATAATATCCGAATTACAAGTACCTTCATGCTTGAAAACGAGTGGACAGACATCATCATATGAAATGGAGTAGAAGATTATCCTTTGTTTTCTGTTTAGAATTGGGATTCCGGTTTCTTCTAAAGCCTTTTCCTTTTCTTTCACTGCCGGTGCCCTCTTGTGTCTTTGTGGCATTATCTTCTTGCTTGGGGTGGTGCCTCTTATTCTGTAACTCTTTACCCTGAGTGGTTCTTAGGCCTTGTACAGGGTGAATATCATTATATATATATATATATATATTCTTAGCCAAACATACGATGGAGCAACTGTGATGGCAGGTGAACGAAATAGATTAAAAATCAAAATTGATAGAGAACGACTTTTTAAATCGTATGATGATTTCACTTATTGTTATGTACATAAATATAGTTTTGAGTAAATGTGCTGAGAAAATTCACGGAGTTAAAATATTTTTCGCATTTACGCAGCTTTAGTAAATTAGTAACTTCGAATACAAAGCGGTAAAAATGTATTTGGACATTTTGATATCAATGCTCAATACGAGGTAGTATCATAGACTTAAAACTGTGGCAGCTGAATTTCAAAATATTTTTTGAAATAATGAAAGGCGGGATGAAGATACGCTCAAGTGAATCTAATAATGGTAAAATGGAATGACTTCACTTACATGTTTTTCATAAACAACTTTCATACAGGCTGAGAAGTGGGTACATCCAAAGATTCGCGATATCTGAGGTGTCATGTCCACTAATTACAATACAAAATTATAAAAAAAGTGAAGAAATGATCTTCGCAGAAAAGGAAGATAACCAAACTAAATACAGTAGATACATATATTTACATGTTGAAAATGAATGTTCTTTGTGGCCGTGAAGAGACCAATAGTTCAATGTGTTTTGTTGCAAGTGAGTGTGCAAAATTCGAGGTTATTTTGTTGCAAGTGAGTCTACAAAGTTCGAAGTATACGCCAGTATGTGTGTGCATGAAGCACACGCCAACGAAACACGTGTGTGACTTCTGACTGGCTGTGTATGATAACAGTGATTTCAAAACATAGTGAACAAAGAGAAGGGATTTAGAACTTACTTTCGTGGCGGCTTTTGCATGGTAACGTGTGCTGCGGCTTAAGAAGAAGCCCCAACTGGAGCAGGAGATCCAGCAGAGACAGCAACAGGAGGAACTACATGAGAAGCGACAAGAGGACCTCTCCCAAAAATGCGGGGAGGTGGAAATGGAAGAGATGCACCCATCTCGGTTCTTATCCTTGAAAAGAGTGAGAGAGGAAAACGAAAAGGAGAAAAAATCACAAAGAAAGAAAATCGAGCTGGACGAAGTAAGGCAGAGAAGGCCATGAAGAAATCAAAGTCCCAATCCATCCCTGCTCTGCCAACAAAAAATAAACAAAGCAATTCAAGGAGCCTCTCTAATTCCTCTTTTAAAGCTCTGCTGTCCCCACTTCCCAAGACCCCTCTTTTACAACGCATCCACTCCCAACACCCCTCTTTTACAACGCATCCACTCCCAACACACTTTCAACTGATAGCAATTCCAATCCTCCCAGCACAACCCTCCTCCCAACACCCCTTCTCCCAACACCCCTCACAATAGCACTTCCCCAAAAAGTCCTGTCAGGTAGACAGGCAGGCCCTGGAATGGGACCTCTCATCCCAAAAAAGAGCACTTTTAAGACCCCTGTTTAAAAATTCTTCTGTAGACAGGAAGTATGTGGAAGACCCTCAGAATTTTCCGAAGGCCACAGGAATGATTACCTGGATATGCAACACAGAGAGGAATCTCAATGTATGGAACTCTGAGGCGAAAGATGCTTTTCCGGAGATCAGAATGGAGGAGATGAAGACAACTGGATTAAAAAAAATTTGCAGAATTTTTGAGCCGGGAGGGTCCCAGTTATTCTCCATCCATCTTTATATAGGGCACTAAAATTCACGTATCTCATGAACGTCAGCGGCATCATCCTGGA